GACAGGTACGATGTGATGGTTTGTAGTTCAACTCAAGTGTGTAAATACTTAATGAATTTGTGAGATTCTCTCTAGATATCAGCCATATAGTTCTATCTAAATTTACCCATCGATTTTCATTTGCCAAGTTCTGGTATCGTTTATTATTCTATTATATGTTTTGTACTCCTGTGCTTGAACTCCGAGGATTGATGCTGCTTGCTCATTTAATGGTGATTCGTGAATCTGTATCGGTGGGTTTATTGTAGTCGTGATCCTTTCTTCGTATGCTATTATTGGATTAGGGATGGGATAGGTGAAACAAGGTTAGTATATTTAGTTGAGATAATAGGTTGTAGAAACTGTGTGTATGGATTTTTGGCTATATATTCTTTATATCCATTTTGTGACAATAGATCTGCCATTGTGTTACATCTCCCTAGAATGTACTCTAACTTTATTGAAAAATTTCTCTGTATTTGTGCCATATATATTTCGCCTATTATATCATTTATCGCTTCGTTTTTGCAAAAGCCCGCATAAAAAGCCTCTGCGTTGGCTTGGTTATCTGTCCACATTATTAGCCGTTTTTGGGTCTATAAAGGTGCGAAGGTGATTATCACTATTAAGCTAGTTAAAAGCTCGCATATCTAAATCGAATTCTCTGCCAAATTCAATGTTGTGTTCCAATTGAAAGCCATATAGTACGTCTTGAATGTCGCACCACCTCCAAGGTTGGATGTGTCCGTGAATAAATTCCTTATGTTGGGCTGTAACCAAATTCTGTCCTCTAATAAATATATTCCAGACCAATTTGGAAGTGTCTTCTGCCACCATCATAAATCTGCTTTCATTGCTTTCGTTATTTTTATCTGAAACTTTGATTTTTTAGGCCCACTTATAGCCTTTATGACCGTTGAACGAACAGTCTATCCTGGATATAGTTTGACATAGCCACATAAAAGAACCCACTAGTGACTGTATTTCTTTTTTGTAGGACCACTCTTTTCCGCTCCACTCAGTTACTAGTTCCATGATTTTCCCTTTCTTTGCTTCGGGTATAGATGCCGAAAAATTAACCATGTCGATACTTGTTTCAAGAAAAGTTAACACTGTGCATAGGCCTTCTAATTTAGACAGCTTATACAGAATATTTAATACTTCTAAAATGTGCAAAAACTGTTGTAGCTCCTGTTCTGCATTCTTATTAGAGATAATTAAAAATCGTCAACGTAGTGTATAATGGACTTGATTACTTGTTTTATGGCAATCTACTTGATTAGGTCTGCAAATCTGCAGAATATGCCGCCCAAGGCCCGATTGCCGAAAGATAATGCCTTATCGAAATATATCTTATTGCTGCATCATATCCCTTGGAGTACTTGATCCACAGAATGTACGGGAAGAATGCGGTAAGCGTCTTTGATGTTAACTTTTGACAACAGGCACTCTTTCCCATATTGGGTGATCCACCTAACCGTATGATTTATGTTTTCGTATTTGGTTGCAAAGGTCACTCATCAATGCCATCGTTTATGCTTGTTCCTGTAGGAGTGGATAGGTGTGATATCATCCTGTATATCTTCAGATCGGTTCCTTTTTTCTCTACCAAGCCGCATGGATTTATCTGGAATACTGAGTATGGAGGCTTTTCTACTTTAAACAGGCCACACATACGCTCGATAGATAACTCATTTTCAATATAATTTGTTAGTGCTTTTGGTTCTATGTTAACAGATTTTAAATTTTCTTGTATAAGTAGTGTTCGCTTGCCTGTAAAATTAAATCTAAACCCATTTTTGAGGCTGTCTCTTAGATATTGAATGAATGCTACGTTTGGGTGGTCACATGTTAAATAATCGAAAGCCAATTTATTGACTGGTGTCATGACGTTAAACTGTTCTGGGTCTATCTGTGCCATAATTAATATTTCTTTTCTTGATAGTGGTTAACTTCTTGAAGGAACTGCACTGATGATTAGCTCGACCGACTGTAAGTATGGTTCAGCTTGAACCGTTATTGCTCTCGATGATTTGAACTGTGCTGTATATTTTACAGGCCTCCTTGGCTGATCTATTGCTGTTTTGTTTGTTTTTTGTTTTTATTTTTTTTTTTTCATTAACATTTTATTTATTTATTTATTTATTTATTTTTTTTTTTTCATTAACATTTTATTTATTTATTTATTTATTTGTTTATTATTGTTTATTTATTTAAAAGAAAAATGTTTGCCCTGTTAGTAAAACTAAACTATGTTATATTTTTTATTTTATTATCACTATCAATTCGGAATATTCATGCGACCGCTTTGTCTCTTCTGCCCGTGTGTTCACCTTCTATCTCTACTTCTGGAGCAATATTCGCTTTTATCAATTAGACTTCCCCATTTCCTTGACTACCCCAGCAGAACCTACAAAGATGCACCAATCAGAAAACGTTCTTCATGTCGATCATTTCATCTGACGTAGCATTTTTTTAAAAATTCGAGCGAAGGTTCCTGCATAAGCACTAGGTCAAATCTAATAGTTTTTTTTTTATTTGAATTCTACTGATTCATAGAATTCAAATAAAAAAATTTTTTATCGAATTTTGCTTGGTGATTATTGAAATATCTTTGGTCAAAGTTTGAGAACAGTTTCAGCGCAGCTTCTATTTTGATCAACGTTTTGAGTTTTCTTAAACTTTGAGCAAAGATATCTCATCAATCACCAAGCCAAATTTAATAAACTTTTTTTATTAGAGTCCTACAGATTCGTAGGATTCAAATAAAAAAATGTTTATCAAATTTGACCCGGTGGTTGATGAGATAAATTCGCTCAAAATTTGAGAAAAAGTTTGGCGCAGCTTTATTTTGATAAGACATTTTGAGTTTTCTTAAACTTTGAGCGAAGATATCTCATCAACCACCAAGTCAAATTTAATAAATTTTTTTTTATTCGAATTCTACCGATTGTAAAATTCAAATAAAAAAAAAGTTCATCGAATTTGACCCAGTGGTTAATTAGATATCTTCACTCAAATTTTAAGAAAACTTAAAACATCTTATCAAAATAAAGCTGTGCTAAACTTTTTCTTAAACTTTGAGCAAATTTATCTCATCAACCACCAGGTCAAATTCGGTAAACTTTTTTTTATTTGAATTCTATTTATTTGTAGGATTTAAATAAAAAAAGTTTATTGAATTTGACTTGGTAGTTGATGAGATATCTATCAAAATAAAGTTGCGCCAAAAGTTTTTTAAACATTGAACGAAGATATCTCATCAAACACCGGGATAAACATTTTTTTATTTAAATTTACAAATCTGTAGAATTCAAATAAAAAAATGATTATTAAATTTGACTTGATGGGTGATGAGATATCTTCGCTCAAAGTTTTAATAAAACTCAAAACATCTATTAAAATAAAGCTGCACCAAACTTTTTTTCTAACTTTGAGCGAAGATATCTCATCAACTACCAGGTCAAATTCGATAAACTTTTTTTTATTTGAATTCTACAAATCTGTAGGATTCAAATAAAAAAGATTATTAAATTTGACTAGGTAATTAATGAGATATATTCGCTCAAAGTTTAAGAAAACTCAAAACACTGATCAAAATAGAAGCTGCGCCGAAACTTTTCTCAAACTTTGACCGAAGATATTTCAATAATCACCAGGCAAAATTCAATAAAAAATTTTTTATTTGAATTCTATGAATCAGTAGAATTCAAATAAAAAAAAACTATCAGATTTGACCTGGTGCTTATACAGAAACCTTCGCTCGAATTTTTAAAAAAATGCTGCATCAGATGAAATAATCGACATGAAGAACGTTTTCTAATTGGTGCATCTTTGTAGGTCCTGCTGGGGTTGCCACCCTACGCTCTTCATCATACCTCATAACTGTGGCGAATTTATATTTGACACACAGCTCATTTACATGATCACGGTACAAATTCAATTCTTGTTCTCAGTTTATGTATATCACTAAGACCGCGTCCATGTATGCCTTGAATGCCATAAGCCATTCTGATATGTTTTCAAATACTGCGATACGTTTCTTTTTTCTTATATATATAGCACCGCCATCCGCCATTTCTAATGCCGTATGGTTATTTATCTCTTTTGCACTATCGATCAAGTTTTTCTGCATAAATTCTTGCAGGTTTACAAATGCACCAAAAGCGACGCTTTTTTACAATTTGTTACTTAGACTAGGTTTCTGCAGGAGCATTTCAAGTAATCTCTGCCCTTCTGTCCAATTCATGACACACCACAATCTAATTCGTTCAGTCTCAGCGGCTTTTTGATTATGGAAGCCTTGGATTGTTGGAATTTCATTGACTGCAGCGTAATTTACTGTTGGGTATTTCCTGGCCGTTGGTTTGTATATTCTAACCTTTTCCTCGTCTACTTCCTTCAAGCTCGCTTTTAATATTAAATTGTTGATAACTGGGGATGGGGGTAATTACCTTGTGATGTGCTCGCATCTCTATTAGTCTCAGTAGTGCTCTGCTGATTTCTTTCCGCCGTGGTTGGGCCACTATTGTTACCTTGGTTGCTGCTGTTGTTGTTGTTCTGTAAGTTCATCTGTTCAAGCCTCTCAAACCTTTGATTGATTGTCTCCATGTATTGCGAATTCCATTGCCTTTGAGTTTCGATTTGACAGTCTATTAGTTGCTGCATGTTTTGATTATAGCCACTGCGGTTGATTGGATTATTGTATCTACATATACTCTTGTTTGATTATCTACACCTTCATACAAATCTTGAATGTCTTGATTTTGGCTTGCTGATGTAGCTATGGTTTCCAAAGATTCGTTGGAAACTAAACTATCATTTCTTGTAATTATTGAGTTTCGTGTATTTTTCTTGCTCATCTTGCAAATTCGCTTCCTTTCTGTACCCGCCATAGCCCGCCCTAAAGACCGTGCATTTATACATACAAATGGTTCTTAATCACATTAGTCTACATGTGAATCGTCTCAATCAAGCAACTGATTAACACTTATCCTTTTCTTGCGCCCTCCTCGAATAGGATGGTGATTGAACTAGTTATTATTCCGTCGACAACTTGGTTTTTTCGTGATTTGTCACCACACCGGGGTCTCCCTGCCTAGCTCCCTTTTCGATTTGTTTACTGCGCCAGTCAACATGAATGAAATGGATAAACTCCCAGAAAATAGCAACCGAGATTGTGCTGGGAATTACCGTAAGCAGTTGCGTCTGATATGTACAGCATTGGCCGGTGGTTTTCCGCCTGCATAATGCAGGCTAGCCATCAGTGAAATCATTATAAAAATGTCAGGTTCCCTCTCTTTTATTATTATTATTATTTTTGATTTCATATTTTATTTTTTATTTTTTTTTTAAAAGAGGGGTTTGGGAGGGCCAGGACAAAATGGTTTGTTGTGAAAATGGCGGCTCTTGCGCAGTTGCTATAGTTACTACCTATTTCTATTCCATAATTTATCTGCTCCAATCCTGGCTGGAAGTTGTCAATGATTACCATTATTGGAATGTGATTTTATATCATGCCTTCCTAAATTTGGCTCCCATATAAACTTTGTAACGCTGTATCAATTTTCACATGCTCCAACTCCTTGCTGCGTTGGTCTCGTGATGGCCTGGCCCCCGAACCTTGCTTAGCCATCTTTTCGATCTGTTGACTATGCATACACCTGTATGCATGTCAACCCGAATTAATTTTAACTTGCAAACAAACCAGTTTTTTTCTTGTACTTAAATCTTTGCATTATTATACTTCATATTAGAATTATTAGAAACTATTATACCTGAAATTAATATTTGACTGAAGTTGCTAAATCAAAATCTGAAGTTATACTTGCTTAGAATTCCATACTAACGCATGCAAAATAATCTAAATTTAATGGCTAATTTCAATTAAATGTAACTTCAAGCACAATATACAAATCGATACTGTAACAAATCTTGATTTTACAATAAAAAATAATAAAAAATAGTAATTTAAATTAGTTAACAAGTATAATAAATAAATGTTATAGCTGCATCAAATTAAATCCATTATATATCTGAATTTATTATTCTAAAATTTATTGCATTATACGTGTCAAATTTTGCTATTTAAAATATTTGAATACTAACTTACTGTAAAATATCCTAGCATATGCAATCATATAAAATGCAATAAATTTATTATTGTTTATGCGTAAATCACGTGTTATATATATTAATATTATAACAGAATTATGTACTATATATATAATTTAAATGTTGATTAGTTATGCAGATACAAATAGAATTTTCCACTCATCAATAAATAACTATCTCTACCAAAATTTTTTACCTCCAAATTGTACTAGATCTCATTTGTATTATTACTGATTAAATATGATCTAAACGCATTAAGAAAAAAATATGGTATCCATTATCACTATTCCATACCAAATTAACCTTTAAATTTTCATTCTACATACATACAAGTTAATTAAGCAGGATATAGAACAGCCATTTTATTTACCTAAACTTCTCATTATAATGTTTGTTTGTCATTCTCATGCAAGTACTTAAATATTCAAACCTGTACTATTTAATTACCGATGTTGTAAACATCTAGTTAACACTAATTATCGCAAGCCTTATATTACCCTTTCGGGTGCTAATTCACCAATTGTCGAGTATTACTTCCTAACAAAGTAAAGGTTGTTCATTACTCTTGATCCAATTCCTGAAATTACATAATATAATTAACATTATTCTCATAAACACAATTAATCAGGTCATGAAACAATGCTTTTTTTATTTAAGCTCTTCATTATAATTTTTGTTTATCATTCTCGTACCAGTATATAACTTTTCAAAAACCAAGCTATTTGATTTCTATATTTATCAGAAATTTGTAACTATCCAGATAACACTAATTATCACGAATATAATGTTATCCCTTTTGCTTTGCTGCCTCATTAATTACTACTATCTCCCAATAAAGTAAAGATAATTATCCTTGATCCAGTTTTCAAGATTACATAACATGATTATTGTTATTCTTATCAACTTAACAAGTTATAAAACGATTGCTTTTTTTTACTTATAATTTTATTTATCAATTTCATACTAATACTTAAAATATTCAAACCTAAGCTGTTTAATTGCCCTATATATCAAAAAGCTATACACATATTAACTTATTTAGTTTACTGCATGCTCATTATCTCAATATTCATAAAATTGCGCAATACAATTATTATTGTTACTAAAAATTACAAATTTCATAAAATTCTTTTAAAGAAATAAACTGCATGCAATATCTAATACAAGAAATTGAACCATTGAACTTATTATTCTCATAATGACATTATTTTATTCAACAAATTCATCTAATCTATTTCTGCATGAACTTCATTATTATTCATAAACGCTTCTACATCTATAAAAAGAGTACTTTCCATGAAATAAATAGCTTATCTTTAAAAAACTACAATCATTTACCTATATTTTTATCACCCTATTATATCCTCAATCTTTATATCATTTTGTTTCGTTAAAACTATCAGTGGAGGTGACAAGTATATCTCTGGAACTGCCTTATATTGTACCAATAATGACAATGATATTTTCAGAGAAATTACATTTAGAGGCTTTACTGGAAGTTCTGATTGTTTGATATCTCTCTTTGAAAAAAATTTTATTGTTTTTATAATCGGGTGTTATGTTTAAGAAAAAGATACAGAATATGTAATAAAATATTACCATTATCTTCTATCATTAAAATCATCCACAAAAGCTAACTAACTAGCTAATCTTTATTTCTTTAGATCTCTTTAGTCCAAACTATATCTATATCATCTTCTGATAATGAAGATATTCTGACTCCTCTTGATCTTCCTCGCTCATCGCCTCTACTTCTCTTTTCTGTACCCATTATACAAGGTTCTTATCATTCTAACAATGGCAGAGGAAGAGAAAGTTTTATACTCTCAAAACACTTATACAATGGCATTACCAATAGCAAGCATATTCCTTCTAATATTATCATCTTATATTTAAACGAGAGTAAACAGTACAATAGTTTAAAAAATAATCTGCAAAAAACAGTTTTATTAGTCATAGGAAGATTAAAAATTAGATCATCCAGAATTCTACATATCATCAGTTCTGATATTAAATAGACCTATTTAGGTAGCGAACTGCAGTATTCAGGTTAGTATTTAAAATCTATATTAGCATTTGCTGTATATGGATTGAAAATTCATTCTGTAAACAACCCTTTTTTTGAGTGTGCAGATTTTATCATGTGCCAATATATTATGCTTCTCTTTGTTAAATTTTATTATGTTTACAAGCATAATTAAACTTTCTGTATATTGAGCAAATTGAATATTAGACATTAATTCAGATACTTTAAGCAAAGACAAATCAAAATCTCGCAAAGAATTAGATAACCAGTTAGATAGTATTGAAGGGAAGTATGCTACTCTCTCCTTCCAACCTCCTTAAAAAAAGCCAAAGCTCACTTCATATTAATTGTTTGGCAAAAAAGCATCAAATGAAAAACTGACCTCTGTTAATTTTATGGATGCAATTTTTCAAGTTTGTACTAATGAACACCACTCAGAACCTACCAATATAAACCCTACTCCCGAAAATACAGAAAACGTAGTTATTCCATCTGATCCCAATATCAAATCTACTTCTCTTTCGAATTTTGAGGGAGACGATGAAATTACACCTATTAATAATATTGAATCCGTTACAACTACCTCTGGTAATCAACCTACTTCTCAACGTAAAGGCACTAAACAATCAGAAAAATGTTTAAAATCTACAAAAAAATAGAATTCATATACTATCATATATTACCTTTTCACTATTTTCTTTTAAAAAAATTTTACATATTCTATTAAATAACATCTTTTTGGATTAAGCTACCTCTGAAAAAATGATCATATATTAATTTAAATTGAGTTTTACTACTGTATTTTCAAATAATTATAAAATATCTCCCAATAATGATTTTTTATTTCACTGTATTGTAGGCTTTAACTAAATGCTTACTCCAATATCTTCATAATGTATTTGCTGCAAATTTATTATCCTATCCAAAAAACCAGTACATAGTAATTTAAAATATATTACGTGATTTACTTTACAAATTTGTAACTAATCAATTTTAAACTATATACCTTACCTCAAAATATATATAAAAAAAATCAAGAAATAATTTTATCGTATTATTAAATGTAATTAACCAATTTTAATACCAACATATGCCTCAATGCCTTTTTCTAAATTACAATAAACCTATTTTTAAAAATACAATTATATGTTAGTATAATACAGTGCCCGACAAAAGTTTCTCTGCACTTGTATCTCTTCGTAGAGAGGTGCTATGACCTTGAAACTTGGAAGAAAGTTAGTATATAAAATGTTTAGATCATGTGTTTTTTTGAAGATTTTTTAATTGTTAAAAAAAAATTTAGATGAGAGCTAAATTTAGGATGTTTTTCGTCCAAAAAAAGTAAAGAAATTAATTGAATTCAAAGAAAAACCAATATATTGTCAAGGCTTGAAGCTAAAATTCTAAAATAATAATTACATTAAAATTCATTGATTTTTGTAGTAGTGATAAAAATTTGACTTGATTTGATGAGATAGTTATTGAGAAATTAATTTTTAAAATTGAGTTTTATTTTTATTATGTTTGATTTGTTAATGTTTGATTCTTTTTGTATTGTAAACTGTTTTCATGAATATCTCGTGTTCTATAGTCTAAATTTAATGATTTTGATGTCATTTGAATTATCACGTCGAGATGATTTAAATGATACTAAAATCATTAAATTTGAATTACTAGATAATGAGAAGATTTTGATTGAAAAAGCTTTTACTTTGCAATTTTTAAAAATGAAACTCAAAATTCAAAAATTAATTTCTCAACAATTTTCTCATCAAATCGAGCCAAATTTTTTAATACTTCTATGGAAATCATAGAATTTTAATATACTATTTTTTAGAATTTTTAGCTTTAAGCCCTGATGGTATATTAAATTTTTTTTGAATTCAATTAATTTTTTCATTTTTTAAAAAAAATTGTCCTAACTTTAGCTATCATCTAAAATTTTTTCTAGCAATTAAAAAATCTTCAAAAAACACATATGATCTAAAATTTTAATGTGTTAACTTTCTTGCAATTTACAATGCTGTAGCACCTCTCTATAAAGAGATATAGATGCAAGGAAACTTTTGTCGGGCACTATAAATTAAAAGAGATTTTCCTTATATTGATTTCTTCATAATAATTTTAAGAAGATATCTTTCTTATATTGATATTTCTATGATAATTTATAAAAACCAAATTTACTTAGAGGTGTAATGACTTAGTGTAGTGGTCTAGTCGTTACCCTCTCCAAGTGGCAGGTCTAGAGTTCAAATCCCACTGGCGACAATATTTGAATAATAGCCTGTGTTTCGGTTTACGGTTGTCAATTATTGGTTGGATCAAATCTGTAATCTCAGTCACACCATCTAGTTATGGGAGCTTTGGCGCAATAAATCTGAGAAACTGGAATAACTGAAAACCCATTTGGCAAGCCCCAAATTTGGAGGTAGCAGTAATCTTTGACGGTACCACAGAAGAGCTAAATTCAAACTGGGGCCCGAGATTGGATAACCAAGCAATCAGGTCCTTAAGTGGGGGAACACACCAGCTGAACTGCTGGGCTGACGCACTAGAGGAAAAGAACATATGCTCTGAAAGTATAGACCAAGGAGAGGGCATTCTTCAGGCACCTAAAGCCTGGGAAGACCAACCTGTCCGAGTTGCTGGCTGGAAGTAAGGGAGAGACCGATAAAGAATCTGGGTAAGAAGACAGTTCAAATGTATTGGGGTTGTTGTGAACCGAATAAGGGCAAGGAGTACGTAATAAGTGTCTAGTTAGAAAGGTTGGTGCAGTAGGTGCATTTTGGGAGTTTTGGTCTATTTTTTTCACACCTCTATATGACATTATGTTTAAAAATCTTTTTAATCATTATCCTGCTATATTTTACGGCACTTTTATATACTATAGCTTGGTGAAAAATTTTATATAGCTAGAAGACAATAAAAATTTGATTATGTCGTCATTCATATATATTAGAGTTATGATAAAAAATTGATCGCATCGTCAACTCATCCACTCATATTAATTTTATAAAGAAGAAGCTCTTGAGCCTTTTCCTGAAGTCTATTAATATACTGAGCTACATAATATCTATTAGCATGCTTTCTACAAAGGCCAGATTTAGAGCTAGTCAGTTTACTACAAACTTTGCAAGAAAAACGCTTTCTAGCCTTCCAATGTTCATGGTATCCTTCAGGCCGACAACAAGTATGTCTACAAATAACTCCAGTTCTAAGTAAATAATCACAAGTATATTCACCTATCATGGTATATAAATATGAATAATTTTAATTTAAACAAAAGATCTGGTA